CTTTCCTTAAGTGTTTGTTTTCCTTCTTTTAGTGTGTGCCATATCTTGCTATTTAATATGTGCCCTCTCATTTCTCTAGCCTCTCTATTCTCCACCATGAATCAAGTCTTTGCCCACTCCTTCACTGGCTTGATGTTCTTTGAGCCTGTTGCTCGGAGTCATAATCGCCATGCCTTGGCTTTTTCCGATCATGATATTGCTATCCCAATCCAAGTTCCTCTTCCTGAATTTGTGGATTGTGGGCTTGATACAAGGGGTTTCATTCACAATCTTGGGTGAACATTTCTTCTCGTGGATCCTCCCGCTCTCATCTGCCCTGAAATTGTCAGATTTTACTATTCCAATCTCAGTTCCTAAGGCCTCAGCTCTTGCTGCTTTTCAACTATCCTTTTCGGCCATCTTGTTACCATTCATGTTGCTGATCTGGCCAATATTTTGGAGTTTCCCAAAGAAGGGGAATCGTTGGCTCACGCCGCTGAGCTCTGGCTGTTCAAATTCAACATTGCCGAAGAGTTTGTTCAGCTCACGGGTCTTCATCCTGGTCCAGACCTCTCCTTGCATGTCAACTTGGTCATTCCTCAGCTTCGGGTGTTACACTTTTCCATCACCAGGATTTTCCTTCCTCGCACTCAGTCTCTTGATCGTATCTTGTCACTCGATTTGTGGGTGATGACTCATGCGGTGCACGGCGTGCCCCTTGATTACACCTCTCTCGCCTTCGGTATATTTCTCACCTATGCAGACTCTTCCTTCCCCCGATTCCCTCCCTCTTGGTCCACTGATTACTTCTCTGGCGTTGCTTCTTGGTGTCTCTATCACTCCTTTCCACGCCAAGTATCCTACATTCTTCATGTTGGCGAACCATGTACTTGACTTACTCGAGATTGTAATTGGGGGGGGGGGGGGTGGCTGCAGCAGAAAGCGACGATGATGACTCAGACGATGGTGCTTCAGATGATGGTGCTCCCTTGATTGTTGTTGCAGTTGCAGGCTTGTTGGTGGATTACAACTCCGATGAGGACTCTGATTAAGTCTGGTGTGTCACCTGTTGAGACTTGAGAGGGACTAGCGTGAGTTTGAGAGAGAGATTCCGGTTTGAGTTTTTCCTTGAGGATTTTGAGAGGAAGGTTTTGGCTTGAGTAGTGTCAATTGAATATTTGTCTTTGGTGATTTTGAGATGCTTGTTTGGATGGGTTTGTTTTCTGGTTGCTTGATTAAGCTCCGACATTGGTTGGTTGTCTTTGATTGCTGGTTATATTTGTGTTGTCTGTGAGCTATTATGCTTGAAGATATTATTGTTATTCTTGCTGCAGGTAGGGGTGGAAATCGGTACGGTATCGGTATCCTAATACCAAATACCGAAATCCCGAATAACGAATTACACCCTAAAATAAATCCCAATCCCTAAATAATTTCGGCATCCCAATCCCTAAATAATTTTGGTATCCCAATCGGTACCTCAGTATCTCAATCAGTATTATCGAATACATAATTATTTACCTTTGCAATTAATAATTAAATATATAAATTAGATTTTATTGTTTAATTTAGGGCAAAGAGACTAAGCAAATAGTCTTGAGTTGCCTAGAGCTAACATCTCAAGTTCTTGTAATTGGTAATCTTTAATTTGACGAATTTGAGGTTGAGAGACGACTAATACTAGTGTGAAATAGTGATGTAATGATTTATGTATAAATAAATGAAACTTTTGGTGGTTGAGGGTCGCATAGTAGTGAATGAGAGAGTATAGTTGACGGGATAAAATACACACTAGTTTATATTTCAGTATTGATCGGTCTTTCGGTATATACCGATCCCAATCCCATAATTCCTAATACCGACTAACAATTGAAATTCAATCCCAATCCTAATCCCACAAAATAATACGCGTATTCAATACTACCAAATATAGACAAATTTGGTACGGTATTCGGTATATCCCATGTACCGGTACCAAACTTACTGCCGTAGCTGCAGGTATACTCACTTGCAATCACCAATTTAGAGGGAGATTGTTGGAGGAAATTGGCGATTGATTCATGAAAGAAATGGAAAGTCCCCAATCTCAAGAATCACCTTCAATGGTCAAGTCTTATGTGCGGGATTTCCAAAATCAGAGGATTCCATTCAACGGCTAGTCTCGACTTCAACCTATTTAAAGGGATACGGGTTCAAAGGATCAACACTTTGATCGGTTTAGAAATTGAAGCAGTATAGGGCTCTAGGGATCAAAGGGCTTGTGTAAATCAGAGGTATATGATCTTATTTAGCAAGGGTGTAACCGATTATTAGTGATTGTGGATTTGGAATCACGGTTGTGGGTGTCTTGTTGATCTTTTCTTCTTTTCTTCTATCTCGAATAAACTCTCCTAGAGAAACACATATGCTGATCTCTGGGATGTGGACGTAACCATTGCACCACGGGTGAACCACATTGAAAAACATCATGTCTCTGTTACATTTCTGCTGTTTCGTTTTCTGCAATTGTCTTGTTCTTCGAGATTGCTCGGTTCACTGAATAATAGTCGAAGAAAGAAGAAGGGAAAATAACTGGGTTCTGAACTGTGGAATGAGCTTTTTGGTTATAATCTATCTTAGGCCTCTGCCTTCAGTCTTTTTGTGTTTTGTGTTCGTGTGGGCCTGTTTGCTTAAAGCCCAACAAAAATTGCAAGACAAAAACGATAGTTCGTTTGTTTGTCTGCTTCCATCTGCCAGTCCCTCTTCAACTGAGAATCATCGTTTCTCATTTCGTCTGAAATCCCTAGTTTTTCCCATCTCGATCCCTTTTACACATCCAAAGAGTAAAATGATTTCATTTTGTATCTAACCTCAATAATATAAATAATTTGTGGATGTTATTAGTCTTTATGGAGATATATTACAAATGTTATAATTTACGATGTAGGTATTTGGAAACATTATTTTCAATTATACCCGTGAATCTATGGATATCAATGAACCTGTGGGCTGTGGCACCTATCACGGGACGAAACTCATTCCGGGGAGGATCCAGGGCTGGGCCACACTGGGCCGGGGCCCAGCCCTCTTCCTACTAGAGAGCTAATTATTAGTTATACTTCCAGCCTTCATCTCCTTGGGCCCAGCCCTCTCTTTTCCCAAGTCAAGTCCAAACCCAAAACCTAACTCCAAACTCCCTGCAACTAATAAACCCAATGTCAATGGACAAATCAAAGGAGACCTGCTCCCGCAAATTGTCAGATGAATTGGATTGGGCCAAGTATGCTCTTTGTTAGTATGTGGTTAGGGGTTGCTTGCATGGGCCAAGTAATACGTATGTTAGTGGTCTAGTTAGGTTAGTAGTAGTTAGGTTTTTCTTATGTTTTTTTATCTCATTAATTTCAGGTTTAAAGATTTTATATTTCTATATTGTATAAATACCAAACCTCTCATAATTGAAGAAATTATATATCTTGATTTATGAAATTTAGTGGAAAGATCATCAATCTACCGAGATAACTATGTTAGGGTATGGAAGAGGGAGAGGGTATAATGGGTAGTAAATATGACTACTATTTGTCACCAACTTAAAAAAATTCAAAACACAAAATTTGTATATATACGCCTTTGAGCGAGGATTTTTTCACTAAATACAATAAAATATCGAACTCAACAACATCCAAAAAACTTGTCCAATCCTAAAAAATGACGGTCGCCGAAAAACTAATCAGAAAAAGTCGAAACTCATCTACTTTGTGCACATGGAGAAGAACAATATGCAAGAACTATATTAACGTTGCTCCACGTATATATGCTTAGTAATTTGACAATTTTTCACCTAAGACACGGTGGGTTTTCAGGACCCAGCCAATTGCACTTTCTCTCCGCCTCTAAATGCGGCCCAATGCTCTAATATATCCTGGATCCGCCGCTGGTGACATTACCCATTGGGTTGGAGAGATTTTATTTTCCAAAACCTAGTAAGTATTTTATCATTTTTTTTACAGATGCACCCCATTGAATTGAGTTTGACTTTCGAGAAACGTGATCCAATCCTGCCCGTTACCATCACTAGTTTAGGGGTCGTTTGGAGAATATGAGTTTAAATCTATAGATTGTCAACAATCTAAAGATTGACACAAAAAAATTCTAACTCTTCAGATTATTGAAAATAGATTTTAAAATGTTTATTGTTTGGTAACTGTGATTGAAAATAAAATAAAATAAATTATATTAAATAACATGTTTATCCTTAATAAAAAATTAGAGTAGTTCGATAAATATTAAAAAATTTGTTGATAAATATATTTAATATGATAAATAAATAAATAAATAAAAGAAAGAGAAAAGGTAGGAGAAAAAAATCCCACGAATCAAGATATAGAATCTCTCTGATTATGAGATATTTGATATCCGTAGATTTTAGAGATTTGAAATCTCTAAACCTAAAATTCACAATACAAAAAGCAACAAAAAACATAACTTTCTACAAATCTACGAATTCAATGAATCCACGCCATAACATACTATTTGGTACCAAATGAATCGAGAATTCATTTCATTGTAAAATGAATTACCTAGTAGAATTCATTGTCAAATGAAATATTGTGTTTGGTATGTCATATTCAAATTTTTAGAAATAATATGAATTGTCATGTGGAATTCATTGTAAAATGAATTCCTGTGTTTGGTATGTCATATAATTAATTTAGTTAATAAATAGGATAATTATGTGATTCTATTATAATTAGTAAATACTTGTGGAATTCATTTGGAAATTTCATTTCAATTCCTCGAAATTGCTATAACTAGTTCCAATTTTATAGAATTCAAAATTTAGAATTGGAAATGAATTCTTTTAAATACCAAAGACAAAAATCTTTCAAATCAAAATAAATTCCTCAAAACTTATGAAATTCATTTATACCAAACAAACGAGAATGTAAATCTCATTTGGAATGATGCCTTAATCTTAGAGAATCACACCAATAAACCGGTTTCACTGTCTTCCCTATAGACCACGGCACCACGCAACTCTTCCCTTCAACGATGCGTTTTAGTTTTTTGTGTCACAGACTCACAGAGTTACAGACTTACAGCGTTACTGTGCTGTGCTGGTTGCTTATTCTGTAGCGCGAGCAATTTGACGCAGATAAATAAAAAACAGAAAAACAGATCATCATTTATTGAAAAGGAGAAAAAACTAAAAAAGAGAGAGCAGGGATCGTCCAACGACGGCAACCGCTTTTACTCTTCCCCTGCCGCGTCCGGAAGAAGAAGAAAAAAAGAAATTTCCCCCAAATCGCGGAACCAAAAAATTCCCAGTCCGGCCTGTCAGCCCGCTCGCTCACTCGTTTTGCTTCGATCCGCCGATTCGATCTATCTGCTCCGTCGCCGGAAACCGGGAAGGATCTTCCGTGCTCGAGCACCGAGAGAACGGAGGCTGGGGAGTTTGCCGGCGGAGGGAAATTGGATAACGATGGTGGTGGGATGAGGTGGCGGAGGAGAGCTGGGAGCTGGAGATGGCGAGAGGAGTGAAATGGGGATGTTCGTACAAGAAGACGACTCTCATCGTTTGCTCCGTCAACATTGTCATCGCTCTCTACGTTCTTCGCTCACTCTACGGCTCACTGTACCTCTACTCCAACGATGATTTAGCTAACGGTGCCACTGCTCCCCCTCTCTTCTAGTTTCCATTTGCGTAGCAGAATCTTGTTTGTTGATCTCTTGGAATTTTGATTCTCCGTAGAACTCGTTTGCGTGAATGATTTTTGTTCTATCTGTAGCTGTGAAGTACACGCCAGATGAGATTAGTAAGATGGAGGAGTCAATTCGGATTCGGAGAGCCAGTGAGCCGACGAAGCTTAAGAAATTGGTGAGTGGTCTAGGGCTTGCTCTCAGGTACTGCGTGTGTGTGAGAGAGAGTGTTTGTGCTGATGGAGCTTGGGGAATTCTTTTTTGTGGTTTGAAGGTGAAAAAACTGAAATTTGAGTTTGGAGAACGAGACATAGTGGAATTGCCGGCGGGTGTCAAACACAATCTAACGAATGAGATTCTCCAGAGATTGAGAAGTTTGTCTAGTGATGCCAGTATCAACCAGCAGCGAGGTAAGTAATGGCTGCAGTTCCTATGCATTGTGTTACCCTCCCTTGGAGCAACAATTGCTAATTGCAGATCTTGTGATATTGAATCAAGTATCATCAATTGGATTAGCTGAAGTGTGAATTTGTAGATTGTGAAAGGATGGATTGATGGCTCTTAGCCTCTTACAATGCTGCACTGTAGATTCAAATAGGTTATTGTCTTACTTGGAACCGGTAGGTTGAACTGTATTCCTTAGTAGTTTGTGAAACCTTTTTTCGGTCGCCCGGAGGTGTAGGTGGAAGAGATGCTAAGGAACAGTGAGGTTTCATATGCATTTTATTAAGATTTAAGGTTCTAAGAGTTCATGCGTTTTCATTTGTTTCAAAGGTGTTGATCTTCATCATGAAAACGTGGAAGAAAATCTCTCATTCATGTACCTACCAATGGTTGGTTAGATGCTCTTAGTTTGTCATCTGCCTCTTTGACATCCTTTGGAGAATGCTCCTTAAATTTTCGCTAAAACAATAATATGAACTCCTCACCTTCCACTCTAAGTTCCAGTTTTCCTTTCTCAAATCTACAGCTCAAATATTTCCTTTCTGAGCAAGTATTAGATATATAACTTGCCTGGAAGTGTGTGGTTGCTAAGGAGGAGAGTGGTGGTGGCATTGGTGTTTATTTCCAACTTCCAAGAATTTAGAACTTTTGGGGCCTCTTATGTGCAAAGCTGGTAACCTTTTCTTTTACAAATGGTGATGGTTGTGACAATCTAACTTGTTCTGTTCACCCCGCTTATTGGGTACACTTTTGGTGCGCTTACCCTATGCTCTAATTATGGTTGCTGTTACGTTCTTGCATCTCATGGATTAGTTCACTCTAGATATGCACTTAGATTTTAAGTAGGCCCGCGTATAGCCATGTAAATATGGCTTATATTAACTGCCTGATGACAGCAATTTGCTTATATAGCCTGTTAAAAGCCATTCAGCTTTGAAGTTAAATACACTTTTCTCTCCCGTGATGGTATTTATGTGTCAACTGTGGCATATGAAATGAGCTCCTACACTGTGGAATATCTATATCTTACTAGTTTAGCTCCTTTACTTTCTTGTTTTGGGAGCAGAAGCAGTTGAAAAATGGCGCAATGAGAAGCTACTAGAAGTCAAGAAGTCAATTAATCTTAATAGAGGAGGGAATTCAACTTTTGTTCAGGAAGAAGCTGGTATCTTGCTCTCCTTGCAAGGCTGTTGTTTGTTCTAAGTGAAAAAAAAAAACCAAACAATTACCTGCACGAAGTCTACAGTATACATGGGAAGTGTTCTTTGTTTTAGGTTCACTTTGCTTACTCACTTACCTGCATGTTCTGTAGGATTGCTGGTAAAAGCCCTGGAATCTGATTGGGCAGTGCTCTCGGAGAACATAGGCCTTTGGATTCCTGCTGAAGTCACTAATCCAGAGCATGATGATAGACCAGAGGGTCAAGAGGAGCAAGGTAGGCAAATCGAACATTTGTGATTCATAATTTTCCATCCATCTGATTTTTTTTTGGTTGAATACATCTGATTTATGTTCAATACGAAACGACTCTTATGGGATCTTACACTTTTACAGCCTGTTGGGAACGAATTTAGTTGCAAACAGAATTTCAATATTTTTATATGAAATCACCGTTCTTGTGGCAATTCATTTGGAAAGTTGAAGTTTGTAACTTATGTGCTGATACAAGTGTGCTGCTCTGTAGAAGAAGAAACTTTGCCTGGTCCACCCGTTCCACAAGAATGCCACGCCGAGCTCCATACAGATTATGATGGAGTGGCTGTCAGATGGGGGCTTACCCATCGTAAAGAAAGTGCTGCTGATTGCTGTCAAGCATGCTTGGACCATGCAAAACGTGCCAAACCGGGTGAATTGCAGTGCAACATATGGGTCTACTGCCCAGCTGAGAATGGTTGCTACTCGCCTGATATTTACGAACACAAGAATATGGAGTGCTGGCTGAAATACGTACGTAATCTGATAAAGTTCGTTACCGTGATCTAATTAGAATCCCGACTCAGTTCCTGGACTCTAACCTTTGTGCCCTCCCTCTAATCTGCAGGCAGAGAAACCCAAACTGAACTTCAAGGACAGATACTCCGAAGCGTACAGAAACTCCCACCCCAATGCTCCAGTGGTCGTTCCCTGGGCTGCAGGGGTCGTCAGATAGCAGTTCTTCAACCCAAACCCAATTGGGCGCGTCGCTTACCATAGACAAAATTCTTTGACAAAGGTGTGAAGCTGAGGCTCTAAAATGATGAACTTCATAGCACTCTTTTTGTTCTATTTTCCCCCCTCAGTCTTCCCTTTTTCCTTTGAAATCATTTTTGGGCCTTTTTCTAGTTTTTATGGGGTGAAGAAAGAGAAGGGTGGTTTGCAGGTGGATCATCAGAATCGATTTTTCGTGCAGATGACACGGGGTTGATGTTACCACTAAGCTTCGGAAAAAAATCGGGGTAACTCTCTTTGCCCCAGTCCAGAAACATAACACGGGTATAGACACGAACAGAGGAACCTTGTTTATGAATCAGAAGCAGAGTTTAGATTGAGTTGTAAGTTGGGGAATTCGTCAGCACTGTAATATAGCTTTCTGTCCACTATTATTCTCCCGTGTCTCGTCAATTATAAAAGTACCCGAGAATGGAACACAAAAGTCATCTCTGTTTTCCCATTAGCCATTAGAAAGGAATGAACAAATAGTCGTTTTCTGGGGCATGTTCTCTGTAGCAGAATCAAGTTTCTTGCTCCGGGAAACAAACATTATACAAATCACAATTAGTGTTTGTTTGGTTCGCGTGAAGTTTGGGATTTTTCCTTTCGAAACCAATTTGGTTCCTTTTAATAGCCTGTGCAGCCATAAACTCCTTCCAACTAAGCAATTTCTGACTGCTAGTTGCCTGTCATATACTGTGTTCCGTGAAATCCATCAAATCCATGTATTTCAAAATCTATAAGCTTTCAAACTATCCAATTCTAACGATCTAGTGACCGAGTGTGATTCACAGCAAAGTTTGGTGACTACAAGCGTAATTTTCCCCATTCCACCAGTACGAGCTGCACACTGAACTCTCAAGCCTGGGCTCAGCCCACTGCTAGATCGTTGCTTCCGGGGTCGTGGCTCGGGAACCCTAAAATAAGAGTTGCAGCGCCGCAGATCGGCTGGCGGACGGAGAAGAAGACACACCCGTCGCCTGATTTCTTTCGCTCCGGCTAGCTGCCGAGAAAAGATAATCCGAGAATTTGCCAGAAATCTTGTTCGTTTCCTTGTTTTTCAATCGAATCGGATATTGGGTTTCTGGCGAATGGCGATGAATCGCTGCGAGAGCTCGGCCCAGTGGGGAACCCATTACGAGATCCTCTCCGTAAAAGAAGGCGCCAGCTACGACGAAATCCGCAGCGGCTACCGATCCGCAATCCTCAACTCCCACCCCGACAAATCGCAGCAGAACACCTCGGATTCCTTTGCCGCCGCCGACGAGAAATTCCTCAGAGTCCAGAGGGCATGGGAAGTCCTGAGCGACTCCAGGTCGCGAGCGGCGTACGACAACGAGCTCCGAGCGTCGAGACGGCGGCAGGATTCGAGCGTTTCGGGAGACATCGATTTGATGGATGTGGGGGTTACGGTGGTTGAGGAAAGTGGCGTGGTGGAGTTTTGTTATGATTGCCGGTGTGGGGATTGTTTCTCGGTGGATTCTTCGGATTTGGAGAGGATGGGGTACAAACTGTCGAGGGATCGAGATAATGTGTGGTTTGAGGACGACGGAGATGATGCTTCGAGGCCAGCGGCGGCGTCGGTTGTCATATCTTGCGGGTCTTGTTCTCTGCGAGTCCGGTTGTCGATTGAGACCGGACTTAAAGTTCCATTTGGTAGCATTTGATGTTCAAGCTCAGAACCAGAATCGAGTGGATTAGACCTAATAAAGGTTGGAGATTGAGAATGTCAAGGAAGTGGAGGAAGCAGAGACAGCAAAATGGGGTTGCTTGCTGCTTCTCCTGAGAAGAACTGAAGAAGAAGAAGAAGAAGGATGGTAGAGATCGATTAGGACTTTTGGCTTGGCTGCAAGCCGCCTGGTAAGTCCAACGAAGCTAAGGCCAGGTGTAGTTCATGTTGGTAGTTTTGCATATCAGGTTGGTCACTCCCATAGTCCCATTAAACTGAACATCTCAGCTCTTTACTATTGTCTGCGATGAAATTTCGGTGGCTTGAAGCACATACCCACATACAGTCATACACAGGCACATCATTTAATCCAAATCTGTTCGTTTCAAAAGCTTTCCTTTTATTTTCAATACATTTGAGCGGGAGCTGGATGAGCGGGAAAGCATGGAAATTTTTGAAAATTGAGACCATGAAAAAGACTAGAAAGAGCAATTTCTCATCTTCTGTTTCCTTATCCTTTCCCTTCCTACTTGCTTCTCAAACTTCTTCTTCTTCTAGTGGTTTTTCTTCATTCAATCAGAGCATTTCTAACCCGCGATGCCTCCCCGCAAGAGCTCCGCCAAGCAGCCACGCCGCAAGAACCCCGTCAAGCGGCCGCGCGGAAAGAGATCTGTCAAGCAGGCAACCCATTACGAGATCCTCTCCGTGGAACCAAACGCGACCTACGAAGAAATCTGCGCCGCCTACCTTTCTGCCACAACGATCACGGATTCCACCGCCGATGACGACGACGAGAAATCCCTAGCAGTCCAAAAGGCATTTCAAGTACTGAGCGACACCCAGTGGCGAGCCGAGTACGACGAAGAGCTCCCGGCGGCGAGGCGGAGGCGGAACGCCAGAGTCATCGAAGAGATCAATCTGATGGATGTGGGGTTCATGGTAGATGTGAAAAGAAGACACGTCATTGAGCTTCTTTATCCGTGTTTGTGTGAGAGTTGTTACTCGATCGATTCCACTGATTTGTGCGAAGATGGGATACAAACTGCGGACGGGATTTGGCAGCGTGTGGTTCGAGCCGCCGGAGGCGGAGGAAGACGCCGACGCCGATCTTTGTATGACGCTGGGTTCGGTTGTGATGCCTTGCAAGTCTTGTTCTCTGGGAGTCCGGTTCACGATTGACACGGGACTCAGAGTTTCATGGCATTACACAATTAAATAAGAAAGCTCTTGTGTGGTTTGCGATTAATGATATTATTGGTTGTTTTGTGGTTAGTTTTTTAACTGCAATAGCAATCGAATAAGAACTAACCGTGTGCTTTATGTTTAATTGCAAATCGAATAAGAGATACAAAGGTCCTTCCAGTTCTGTCCTGAATGTTGTCGTTCTTCAAAATACAAGGGCTACACCATCGACTATGACACACCGCCTTCATAATCATAGCTGCCTGTCATAGTAAGCCAGCACTTTCAATCTGACACTTTGTTGTGGTGAAAATGTTTTGCACTATGGTTAATAGCTAATTGTTTGCGGAGCGATTACAATTGACATGTATGACTCCATTTCGAATTTCGATTGCGGTTAATCGCAAATTTCAATGCGATTAACTGCAACGGCACAGCGCTCTACTAGAAGTATAGAACACCTCACCGTTTAGTAGGTAAGAGGTAACTGATAGGAGCTGGGCCTACGGCCTGGTGATAGAATGGTCCAGGCCCATAATCAGTGTTGCATGGATCAAAATAGAGAACTCGAAGACTTGAAAATTCCGATTCTCAGTTCGTCAGTTTCCAAATCCCAGGATATTCGTGAGTTCAGTTCGTGTTGAATTGCTGTGCTGATACATCCAGATTGGCCGGAGAACTGAACTTTCCCTTCAGAAATTCAGTACAACACGCGGCGGAGGTAAAAGTTTGCCGCTCTTTTATACCTCCTGTGTTCTTGTTCTTCACCCAGAAAGAATTCGACCAAGAAAACTCTTTTTTCTTACTTGGAAAATGTTCCGCGACGTGATTTCGTAAAAAGGGTCGGCTCATGGTGTTTGGAGAAGATTAAAGTTGGAGTCTTTTCCAGCTTTTGGAGGTAGATTTTCAAGTACCCATAAATTGTGGTGGGGGAACGCTTTGTTCTTTGGTCTTGCTAATCCAAATCTCCCAAAATCCTTTCCAAAAGGAGTAAATGGGTTCTGAAGAAGGTAGGTCGGTGCAATCGTGGAGCGTGTTTGATAGGATCAAGAAATTCCCATCTAGTCCAGAAGCGCTTATGGCTGAGATTGATGCTGCAATTACTAAATTGGAGAGTGAGCGATCCACTGCTCGGCTCGACTCTCTGTCGCCGCTCAACGTGAATGGTACTAGTAATACTAAGGGCTTTGACCAGCCGCCGACTGCTGCAGCTTCTCAATACGATGCCAGGATTGCAGATGAAGCTTACCGAGCTGGTTGTGCAGCTTTTGCCGTTGGGAAGCTTGATGAGGCTCTTCAGTCGTTGACCGTCTCTCTCTCCAAGTGTCCTCCTGAGAAGACCTCTGCTGTTGCCAAGCTTCAGTCCCTCATTTCTCAGACCTCTCAACAGCTTCACGAATCGCCTTCTGTGACAGTTGAAGACGTTTAATTTGAACTTTGAAGACTTCCATTGATGTCTGATAATGCTTAGGATCTTTGTTGTGTGTGGATTCTCAATGTTGCTTGCCTGGCCACTGAGCAGTACAATGTACATGTTTGATTGTTTGTGTTTTGATGCCGGGCTAGAGTTCTGGTTGTTTGATTGATGGATTGTGCAGAGATGGTTTGTTCATGTGACAAGAATCTATTATTTAGCTATGAAATAGGAGTTTGAATTCCATAGGAGTTGTTCGAAGGATGTATCGTGATAATCGTCCGATCAATGTATTTTGACAATCTTTCCATTTCAACTTATCTGTGTACTTTCAAAACTCTGAACCAACTGATCCTTGATTCAACTTTCTTAATTTCACGGCTGCTGTACCTTTACAGTCAGTACTGTGCAGAGTGCTGCTTGTTCATAAGTAGGCCAACTGCTCTGATAATCCCTTTTTATCTTCCACAATCTAATTGTGTATGCCTAAAACTTATCTGGTCAAATTGCCTTAAAGTGAGACGTGAAGAATCCACCTTCAGTGTTTGGTGGAAGATAGCTCCACCATATCTTCCGCAATAAAGGTTCTATTCATCCCATTCCCAAATTTGCAAACTAGTGTTTACCAGACACAAGAGTTCTTACTAAAGCTGGACATCCTTTATTGAGAACTGTAAGGTTGTTCAAATTATGTTGATGGAGGAAAACCTAGTTGTACCAACTTTTTTTTGTAAAAGCTGAAGAGTAAAGTAACCACATCATGACTATAACATGCTAAAGTGACTTCATGTAGGTGGAGTTGAAGTATCAAAGGTCCAAAGAGGTGAAATGTGAAGCTTCATTTCTCAACAGTATTTCTTCCCCATCTGCACATTCATCAGGAAGCCTAATTTTTTTCTGCAAGTGCCTTGATGAAGATGATGACGTTGATTCAGCTTCTCCCTCAACCATTCGAGGAAAATTTATTGTTTCCACGGTTCGAAGATTAAAACAAGAACGAAAATTAGAATGGTGGACAAGAAAGAACACAGAAAAAATGCAAAGATGGTAAAATGAAAGACAATCTTTATGTACGCTTTATGTCAACTATGTTCTGCATTTCTCTTTCCTATGCACTAGCACTATAGATTCGCGATCGGAAGGCTACATATGTGGAACGCTAATGCATCACACTATCATTCGTGTTCTTTCAATCCCGTGTGCATCACAATTAACAGGGTAATCAAATTTAATATATGAATTTACCAATGGTATTAAGTATTAACATACATAATTTTCAGGGTAAAAGAACACAATCTCCCCAATTAATTTTCAGGTTTCTTTTGCCACATTGATTGTTCAAAGGCGGTTCTCATCTTTCTAGTAATGAACAACTTCAAAAAGTAGGGTGCAATGGATGAAAAAGGAAAACCAAACACACAGAGTTTGGTGTAATGGTCATGTCTCCTTTTTCACCATAACCAGCCTTCATCTTCAAAGTGTGGGGGTGTTAGTCTGTTAGAAAGTGACGAAATGTGCACCTTGTCTCAAGAAAGTAATTTTTGATTTGTGCTCTTAAAAGCTTTATCTTTACCCTTAAGCCAACAACAAAGAACACTCTTAGCACTATCTCTGAGGTGAGGAGCTGCAAAGCATCAAGCTGAGGTCAATTTGGACATCAACTCAAGATTGGGACTTTTACACTCCACCACATTCCATGGTGAAGCTCTTCCTCCCTTCTCTTCCTTTCTTCTTTATAGCCAAGTTAAGCATCAATTTCCACACCAAAGTTTTCAGCTTTTGGTGTATTGTCTAATTCCTCTCTCTAAATCCATAATGGGTGTGTTCTATCAGGAAGAGCCACCCCCACAAAACCCATCAAAGAAATGCAAGTTCTTCCTCGTTTCAACACTCAAAGATGCCTTCTCCATCTGTCGATCTTGCGGCGGCCACATAAGCCCCCTCAAGCAGCAGCAGGATGAGGATTATGTTCCCAACACAACAACTGAACTGAAAGATAATGAACAGGAAGTACTTTCCACTTCTACAAACTCTGCTACAATTTTTCTGTACAAACATACAAAGAACAATGCACATGAATTTGTTTATGACAATAACTATGTTGTTTCGTTTCTTCAGGTTGTCGTGTCAGCAATCAGGAGCAGAGCGATGGAGAAGTCGAAGCAGAAGGTGTTTGTGATCACAGATAGCATTTTAGGGGAACTGTTCTTTAGTGCTGAGAGGCAGGAGGGTGGAGAAGTTGAAAAAGAGGAAGATTTCTACTCAGCTGGGAGCTGTCTTTCACGTTGTTCAAGCAGTTTGAGCAAGGGGGGCGAAGAGTTCTTCTCAGTGAAGACAAACTTGTCGAGGTGTTCGAGCTTGAGTCAGGTAGAGTTCCCAAGTTTTCACAGGCGTGGTTCGATATTGCAGGAGCTCTGCCACTGCGAAGGGTGGCCATTTGGTCTTTGCAGGAAGGCTGTTTTGCTCCCACCTTTGCCTAAGTCTCCCTCTGAGTCCTGGCTATGGCAGAAAGGTACTAGATCAGCCAGGCGGCCTTGAGTTCTTGCAGCTTGCAACAAAGACGAAAAACTTAGAAACAACTTTAGAATAAGATAGACTGCTGCGGAAGGATGCGAGGTTTATTGTTCTGTCATGTTCTCATGTATATTCCCATGTATCAGATTCTAGATTGGAAATCAAAAGTTCAGTCCTTAATCCATCAAAGAATTCACAGTCAGCCTGAGTCCATATACAAGCATCCTTCTGAACATTGTTTCTGTAAGAACATCAATTTTCTCCTTCATTAAGATAGTTTTCTATGATCTCCCAAAGGGAGGGGGAAACTTATGGACTCTCCATTGGACTACTGATCCTTTCTTTTTCATTATTTTTAACATCGATCCTTTTTCAACTTAGATGATATTAGGTTTACACAAACACAAGGAAAGAAATTTGCGGGCCTTATTTGCTTGAAGAAATCTTGATACGATCCTGGAATCGATCAAATTTTATCCAGGATTAATCGTTAAAGAGGCCAAGTCGAATTGCAAAGAAGCTGAAAATTGTCCAAGTCACTTTCCGTGTTCAAGCAGCCGACTTTGGAGGCACGTTTCTCTTAATTGGCTCAATGAAAATTCAAGTTTAATGGCTTGTGTTGAACATGGAATGATTATATACACATTGGTATGCTTGGTTGCTCAAGAAGAAGTAATTAAGGTTGTTTTCCAAGGCCTCAAAGTTGATACCTCAAAACTGGAAAACTGCCAGAAAATGGCTAAGGTAGAAAACTGTGTTGAGATACCAACTTTGAAGGCCTATATCTAGAGTTTGGAGCATGATCTCAGGCTAATTCAAGTTGGAGATGAAATAGAAAGTTTTCTTCTACAAAGGAAAGGGATTGGTTGAGTTCGAATCAACCTACAAGATCATTTTCAAAGGGCTCAAAGATGCTATAAAGCCTGTTTTCCTAGGCAGACTTGCTTGTGTTTTAAGTCGGTTTCTTGGCTTGCAAATTATCTTGTTTTACATGAATTCTTTAGCCTTTTCCTGTTATAATTAGTTTCCTTGTTAGTTTAGAATTGTATTAGGTTTTCTTTGGCTATAAAAGCCCTCTAGTTTCGTTGTAATAGAAGAGAATTGTTGAATAAAAATTACTCCGAGGAGTTTATCCCATTGAGCTTGCGAGCTTGATTTTTGGTCTTGGATTCGTCCTAAGCTTGCATACTTCTCTTTCAAGTCATTCAGACTTGTTTGAGTAGTGATTCTACCTTTCGAAACCGTTGAGCTTGTCCCCAAGTGAAGATTTGTCCTTTCGTTTCAAACCCATCCCAAATCGTACTAAGCACATCCTGTTCTTTTGGTTTTCAATTCAATTCAATCCTTTGAGTTGAATTAGCTGCGTACTTTGGTAAAAATACACCCCCCAGGGTCGTATTAAGTGGTATCAGAGCCCCGTTCTACACAAGGGCGAAGAAGAAGAAGCAATCGACTGTTTTGGTACAAGCAAATTCGAGTTCAAACAAGGCAGCCCCTGTTTCATAAGTTCCAGGTGATGTTTCCTTTGAAATCGTGATGGAAAACTCCCTTCGAGCAAAGGAGTTGATAGAGGGCAGTACCATGGAGCAAGAGGCACGAGTTCAAGGCCAAAAGAAGCAGCCAGCAGTCGTCATTAAACATCGTGAATCTGACGAGCAAAGAGACAATCTGTTTCATAGTCACTGTATGATCAATGGAAAAGTGGTTTCGATGGTGGAAGCTCTGCCAATATCATCAGTATGGAGGCCGTACAGAAGCTTGGACTGAATACGCAGAAGCAACCTCAACCTTACAGTCTCAGCTGGATCAACGAACATGGAACCATAGAAGTCACGAAACAGGTTCAGGTTAGTTTCGAAATCGGCAAATATAAAGATGAGGTTTGCTGTGATGTTGTACCAATGCAAACCGCACACATATTGCTTGGTAGACCTTGGCAATTCGACCGTAAGGTCACACACGAGGGCTGAACCAACTTCTACAAGCTTCGGTATCAAGGTAAGACGATTGTGCTAAAGCCCCTTTCTCCGGACGAAGTTTACGAAGATCAAAAGCAGTTGGAGGAGAATCGAGCTACAGGAAAGGAGTCCAAGGCTCAGTTATGGGTTCAACGACGCATTGGGTTTAATTTTATGAGCTTTCGAAAGCTTTAGAAAGCCGTTCCAGAGGCGGAACTGTATGTGGGCACCGGGCCGTGCCGCCCACGGGATAGCACGGCACGGCACGGCACGGTTAGAACACGGCACGAGCACGGGCACGAAATAAATGGGCCAGCCCGGCACGAGCACGAATAATTTATGGGCCGTGCCGGGCCTAAATTTCATGAGCACGGGCACGAGCACGGGCACGGTATATAAGTCGGTCATGTCGGGCGTAATATTTTCGAGACTTTCTTGAGTATAAGAACGGACATGGCACAAAAATAATATTTATTTTATAGAAAATAAATATAAAAAGAATTATAGGTTCAAATATTACAAAACATAAGGAGAAAAATAATTATTTGTTATTGTTAGAAATGTCATAAAGATATATATGTAATTACTAACATAAGTAAAAATGGACAAAGAATTAAACAAAACCAAATCACACTCGCTATACTTCCAGTTTTCTTTCCCCCCTTATTTGTTACTTTTCTCAAACATTATCGGTTAATACTATCTTCCTCCGTCCTATTTTCACCTTCTTTTTCATTATCTCTTTTGTTTTTGTCTTTTTCATTAAACACGAATACGAGCATGACACAAGCACGAATAGGCACGACACGATTCGAACCGTGCCCGGGCCTGGGCCAGGCCTAGTAAAGTTAACAAATGGCTTACATGGCACGACACGAAAACTGACGGGCCGTGCTAAGCACAGCAAGAAATAAATGGGCCCGAAGCGTCCCCGTGCCGTGCCGGCCCAAGCACGGCCCATGTACAGGCGGAACCCACTGCCCAGAACGAACCCTGTTCTGTTGCGGCAAAACAGAGCTCCGCGCTCCGCCGCCTTGACGTTGAAGAAGGAGGAGAGTCAGAGCACGATGCGATCATAGAATCCTTCCCCACGTTTTTGAAATGTCGACCAGTGCAGCGGGGGCGCCGAAGATACTTGACGTTCTTCGAATCGTGCAATCAAAGAAGGCTATGCCAGTCTATTCAGTCCCTGCAAAACAGGGCAGGAGAGAGAACGGATCGGCGGGAACAACCGACGAAGAGTCGAAACTCGCCGATGGTGTCGACGCTATACTCACGACCCCAGAAATGTCAGAATATGCTTCAATAGAGTCAACCGTACCTGAATTTTGGGTATCAAATGACGCGAAAATACCTCTGTTAGTGAAGCAAACGGCCGACCAGGACCCTCTCGTGGGTAGAGCGATCCAGCTCAAATCGAGCCAAATTGGCGATGTAGATTCATTAAAGGACGTCCCACTAAGCTTTAAGATTGTTGAATTTGCCGCGACAAAGCCTGAATCAGAAATGCCCAAATCCGAATTCAAAATTCTGGGTCTGTGAAATTCAAACTCGGCCGACGGCGGGAAGAGGGAACTCGACGAATTAAAGACAATGGCGATGCTTTCGGGACTTGGGCATGGACCAGAACTTCAATTGGAAGCCTGGAGAAGAGTTTGGAGTGCTTGAATTGGATGGGGGATACTTGAATCGCAAACCCCCAATTGTGCCGAGCAAGAACGAGTGTCGCACTGCTGTCCGACGACCTGGAAATTGCTCGGAAGGAAATTCGGCAAAATTGGTGGTCAAAGCAGGTTTATTCCAACTACACAAAGCGTTCCCAATGACACTGCAAGCACCAACACAACTAGATGCGATTGATGATGAGATTGAAGCTGCCAAAGTTGTGCCGAAAAAGATGTTTGAGCATGCTACTTTCGATCCAGTTTGGAATAAATTCTGCGAAGATTTTGACAAAAGGAAACTTCAAGCTTTGAGGTCAAAGCTTTTTGAAGAAGGGGAGCCTGATACGATCCTAGAATCGATTAAATTTCATCCAGGATTAATCGTTAAAGAGGCCAAGTCGAATTGCAAAGACGAAGCTGAAAATTGTCCAAGTCACTTTCTGTGTTCAAGCAGCCGACTTTGGAGGCACGTTTCTCTTAATTAGCTCAATGGAAATTCAAGTTTAATGGCTTGTGTTAAACATGGAATGATTATCTACACATTGGTATGTTTGGTTGCTCAAGAAGAAGTAATTAAGGTTGTTTTCCAAGGCCTCAAAGTTGCTACCTCAAAACTGAAAACTGTCAGAAAATGGCTAAGGCAAAAAACTGTGTTGAGATACCCACTTTGAAGGCCTATATCTGGAGTTTGGAGCATGATCTCAGGCTGATTCAAGTTGGATATGAAATAGGAAGTTTTCTTCTACAAAGGAAAGGAATTGGTTGAGTTCGAATCAACCTACAAGATCATTTTGGAAGGGCTCAAAGATGTTATAAAGCCTGTTTTCCTATGCAGACTTGCTTGTGTTTTAAGTCAGTTTCTTGGCTCGCAAGTTATCTCGTTTTACACGAATTCTTTAGCCTTTTCCTGTTATAATGAGTTTCCTTGTTAGTTTAGAATTGTATTAGGTTTTCTTTGGCTATAAAAGCCCTCTAGTTTTCGTTGTAATAGTAGAGAATTGTTGAATAAAAATTACTCCGAGGAGTTTATCCCATTGAGCTTGCGAGCTTGATTTTTGGTCTTGGATTCGTCCTAGGTTTGCAGACTTCTCTTTCAAGTCATTCATACTTGTTTGAGTAGTGATTCTACCTTTCGAAACCGATTGAGCTTGTTCCCAAGTGAGGATTTGTCCTTTCGTTTCAAACCCATCCCAAATCGTACTAAGCACATCCTGTTCTTTTGGTTTTCAATTCAATTCAATCCTTTGAGTTGAATTAGCTGCGTACTTTGGTAAAAATACACCCCCCAGGGTCGTATTAAATCTTTGCTTCCAGTGAAATACAGCTAAATGGAATCGAAATCATGGGATCATCAATGCAAATCTTGAAATAGATAAGCTTTTATTGAACTGCAATGCAACTCCAATTGAAAAGGTGTTTCTAAGAGCAGCAACTTGATCGCAACCATTGATAAACACAGATTCCAAGCTAGAAAAACTCTAGCAAGTAGCAACTAAGCTAAATCAGATCCCAGGTTCTGGGACTTTAAGCTCTTTGTTCAACATAAGATCCAGCAAGTCCAGAAGTACCAATCAGGGTCACCTGCAAACACAAGAACAAGTGATTTAGGCACCCAACATCAACTACCTTGCTTTCCAAATATTCATTAAAGATATGCCAAGTACAGCTCCAGATGCAGAAGGTCGACAGCTTGGGGAAACAATAATCTAAATCGAGAATTTCAGTTAATTAGCATTCGGTAAACTTGAGCAAGTCTTAATAACTTGCCCCACTCAAATCCAAGTCCAGCGCATCTCATCTTCAAAAATATCATCTTTGAACCCAATTCCATCTCTACTTTCTTTCTCAGGCAGGCTTCATCAGGTCCAAATGACTCCAAATACGCAGAGTACCGTGCAAAAAAGATATGGATTGCCTTTGCATAATCATCTGTTAGCGGGTTTACATCCTGTGTCACATATTTTACAAGATAGTATTAATCTTCAACAGCCATTTGAGAGTACAAATATAAAGCTGGAATTTTCAGATAAAAAAACCATGAACATACCTCGCCACACATCCCAATGCTGTCATCTAGCTCTATCTGCAGAGTCATGATCATCCCACCAAATTCCTCAACAACTTCACATGACTGGAAAACATTCTTCAAGATCTCTTGACCGGATTTGTCATCAGAGTTTTTGGACAGAGCATTCTTTACATCATGGACAATTTTCGCATCAATTTCATCCCAACTTGCAGCCATCAAGTCCTTGAAAGCACATAAGACATCAGGGTCCTTAATCTCGGGCAAGTGTGCTACATCCTCACTATAAGACCTTTTACTACCAATGCTGCTCGCCAAAGGAGACCGGGAACCTAACAACAAAAATGACCAAGAAACTACCGAGTTAAAGAGGCATGAACTATCATTTCCAAGGTAGCATCAACTTTAAACAAACAGGAGTTGGCGAATAAAATCAATCATTATATCTACCTAATTGACATAAGCCTTGATGAATTTCACATCGATGACAATTGCTGGTTCACTTATAATAGCTAGACACAGATCCTAATGAAAATTCATCGCACAAATATCAGGAAATTTTGATAGTATGTGCTAACAATTTGTAAATCCTATAATTCTGAATATAGCATGGGAAAGAAGCTAAACAACTAGAGATGTGAAACAAAAGACAGAGAAATAACTTCTCCTCAGTTTCAAGTTATGGTGGATTAGCTTAGCAGAATAACATAATTGGGAAAGAATATCTTCATATAAAGGCTACTGCTTTCTTTTCCTATTAGCGCAGATTCATTCAACCTAGCTCACGAATTTCAAAAGGCCCTAACAAGGTTTTAGATAATAACTCCAATGGTGATGATCAAATTGAGAACCAAATAAGTGGGCAGAGCGCCAAAAACCATAACCAGAGGTATTGGTCGAAAAGAGCCATACCAGAAGGGATGCGATCTGCAGAAACGGTGGCGGAAGAGAAAGTGAACAAGGATCGACGTGCTGATTGATGGTGAAGGAGCTGGTTGCCGGCAATAGCTGCGAAGCATATCGAAGATCTACGAGAAGCTGCACGATATAGTGACCTGAGAGCCACCATCTTCCCCATCTTCCTCCCGAAGACGATCGAATATTTTCCTTTTTATGTTCTTGAAAGCAGCAATTTCCTTCCTTCCTCTGTTCTCTTTTTACATTTTTCCGATTAAAAATGGGGAATTGAGTAAACAGAGCCACCGTCTTCTGTACTATGTTACAGTGTTATGGTTTCCGCTCTTAGCCCATGTCCGAAATATCTGTGTAATAAAGCACCAAAGGTGCTTTTTGCTCAGAGAAACGCAGCTTATACTCAACCCACGAGTTGGATTGAATCGGTAAAGGAAGAACACCACAAACAGAGTTCGAGTGTGTAGTTTGTGATGGAAGTTTCGTGCAATTCTCACGACGAGAGAAAGGCTCGATAACTATAAGTCGAAGTTTGGCCACGTTCAATTCTTTTATATATGAAAGGTGGGTACACTTTATTGCCTAAACTTCTCCATTAGTGTTTCACTTTTTGTCCTCTTCTGTGCCCACCTTCAGCGAGCTTCTCTTCTTTTGGTCCTGAATTTCTTGCCTGCCCCAACGGAATAAAGCTTTTTTCTTTCCCCCAGAGCCCCAGACCATGCTCACCTTACCCCAATCCCATGCCTTCATACTGCCTGAAAATCCGGAACCCCGCGTCTTTTCCGTCATCTCACACTCTCCAAACCTTGCCGTCCCGGTGTGCTTCTCAATGGTACAATAGCTTCTGCAACCCACTTCAGTACGCGACCCACTTCATCACTCCAAGTCTCCAACATCAAGCCACCTCTCACAGATGTTCTTCTTTCCCAACACACAACCCCTTACTCCACCTAATCTTCTGATTCCTCTCTGTGAAACCCATTTTTCTTACAAGTTTTGTTCTTCTTCTCCTCCTCCTCCACTCTCTCTCCTGAAGCAGACCCCAATGATGGTCAACGGAAATGAGCCCGACTGACCAACGACAACAAAATCGGTTCGGTTACCATCAATCTTTTGTTAAGACTTACTCGTCCTCTTCTTTTTCTTAGCTTCGAACGTGGAATCGGATACCATTATTGGTGAGTAAGCAAATTTGAGCCATGCTCTGTAGTTTCCAACATGTAAGTGAAAGATATATATTTTTTTTTTGTTGATTTGTGGTGGCTGAGTATGTTGTTTTAATGTGCATTTTATGTAGGGGAAGACTGGCGGTGCAAAAGCTGAAAATTGGGATCAGAAAACAACTCTCTAATTGCTGTTTTTTTTATTATTTTCTAACAATGAAACTGCTGGTTTTCCTATTCTTTTCATTTTTCCTGTTTGCTCTTCTATGAGGTTTATGGTTTTCATTGCTTTTGAGACGGAGAACAAAGCATGCACTTGAGACTTGAAGATTGCAGCTGAAGAGCAGTAGTAGAGTCCGGTTCAGGCCATCCTTTGCCATGGAGTATCTGTATGTAAATCTCATTGTCAGTTCTTAAAACAGGTGCCACGTACCCATGCTAAAGTTTGCTGCTTCTTTCTAGGCCTCCTCCGGACATTCAGCCACGCTGACACAGATGATAATGCAATGCCAAACTTTAAGAGGAAACAAGCGCTCAACGTCCTCTTCTCAAAGCATGGTATGCTGTACTTTTCACCTGGATAATAAAGAGAAGGCTCTTTGGCTATGACTTATAGGATTGATAAGTGGATTAGTGGTTTTTCATGGTTTTAACCTTGAATTAAGTGGAGCATAATCCGCGCCAGAGGACTCTGCTCAATCTTTCAAGGTAGATGGTACCGAGAATCTGGAACTTAACTCACTTTTCATTTGATTGGTTTTCTCATTTCAATATCACTGGTTAAAACGAGGATCAATATGGACTTTCCAGTCTGTTTCCTTATACCTGGTAGTATTTGAATGTGTAGTTATAATTCATACCACCATGTATTGTTGGATAGGCAGAATAATTAATTTCGTTATTGCGCTATACAACACAATCAACAGGCCTTTGCATAACGAGCCTTGGCGATCATCATTTCTAAAATTTTATTTAGTATGTGTAGCTGCAGGTTATGGAGTTGCACTTTTGTTGTTGGCTACTATGTGTTCTCTTATCAAGAGGGAGTTGGATCTCATTATACTGTAAGTTTACATTTCTAACTCTCATTCTCAACATTAGATCATCGCTGTTTTCCAGCATTCTGCTTCAGTTTCTCAGACTGTTCAAATCATCAACTTAGTTATGTTTTGTCATTATAGTGGTACCTGAGGTTGTTCATTTATAGAGTACTCTGCTATTTTGTATTTTGCCTCTATTTGATATGCATTATGTTGGCCATAGTAGATACAAGTTGGATTTGCAATTGCCTTCCTCTGATAAGTTTCAATGAATTTGGTCATTTCCTCATACGACTTCTTCACTGAAACCTGATAGCAGAAAACTCTGCTACCTTGCTGCATTTTTGCAAATTTCCTCTTTGGGGAGTACACTCTCACTTCCTATTCTTGCTTACATAGTTCCATTGCCTTAAAAACAAAATCAAATTCTATGTATAAAAAATATCAGATCCAAAATTTCTGAAAGTTAGTCTTGAGTTTCGACCTCATACAGTTGAACCTCAAATGCACATTAAATTGGCGTATTCGTGCGCACAATCTCATTTAAATCCCTTTGTTTCCTTTTGAAAATTGTCTGTTAAATAGATTTTGGAATCAGATTTTACATGGGTTGGTTGGATGGTAACAGCGGCGGATCCAGGATATAGTAGAGCACTGGGCCGCATTTGAATAAAAAATTAGATACTGTAAACAAAAGTATATAATAAATGTAATATCATTACAATGCAAATTGTACACGATAGTATTTTAATTTATCAAATTTATCAATAACTGAGACTTCATTCATACAAATTTTGAATACCATGCTTCTCGAAACCACGATATTCATCTGGATATTCTCAAGGCTTATAGTACGTGAGTTTAGGTTGATAAACCTTGTGTATTAGATACCCAAACCATCATATGTATCGTGCATGTATCACATCACAAGCTACTTCTATGAAGAACACAGAGAACTTCTGGTAGATCTCACTAGATACATGTAACTGAAATGATGGCCCAAATAAGAGAATGAGTGCATACCTCCATTCCTGTATATACTGCTACAAACAAAGCATATCCAGCTGGTCCATAACCTGTTCACAAGAAAACCAAGTGACTAAGACATTTTTAAATGATTGGTAGAGAACTAATGAGCACCCTCCCATGCCACCACAATTTGGGTAAACATGAAACTGAATTCAACAAGGAAAAGGAGAACCAAAAGATCTGTAGAAAGGAAGGGGAGCAGACAGAGACTGACATGGCAAGGTCATTCACATGTCAAAGTAGTCAAACAAACTTCATCACAATGAGACCAATCATTCTAATGCTAAATTTCATATTGTGTTCCATTCTCGAACTTCTCCATTCAAATTTCTACTATCTTGCCAATCAATGCCTCAATTCTCAAACAAAAGTACCTAAACTAAAAAGGGAGCTTCTCAATCCAAGGACAACTCTTAATTCCATCCCCACAGTGTAGATCAATTGGCAACAATACTATAAGCATTCTCAATCCACTAGTTCAAGAATTCCCAAGAACTACTCAATCAAGAAAATTCCTACTATGCGACTCTTCCATTCCACTACCCATTCATTCCGCGAGGCACAAGTTCTTCCAATTACAGAGCACTTCGAAGCAAGATGAAAAGAAATTGAAGTTGCGGAACAAACAAAGGCTCTTACCTTCAATATAACCCAGAGAAGTGATTCAAGAACGCATTGATTTGATCCATGTAAACATACCCAATAGTACCAAACCCACCAACAACTTCCACGAGCAAAACCCCAGCAAGAAAAGTCCCATTCTCCGCTGTATCCCCTTCCAATCCACCTCCTCCATCCCCGCAGTAGCCCTTAACAACCTTCTTCTCACCTCCTCCCTCGTCATCATCGTCGCCCTTCGGATTCAAGAACTACCGCAAGCTCTATGGAGGAACTCCATTCTTCTCCTGCTGCTTCTTCCGCGTCTGCTTGAACGACGAGCAAGGGACAAGAAGTGGAAGCGCTTAGTGCGCCAAAGGAAGGTAGTGGAAGACGAGGTGGACGGTGAAGAGGTAGACTTGGGCCTGGGTAGGCAGAAAGGGCTGCCCAGTGTGGCCCAGCCCTAGATCCACCGCTGGATGGTAATCTCACTGGATGCTGAATTAGAAAGGGAAATGCTATCAACTCTAATATTATCTTTATGATTTCCTGCAAGGTTGCTTATCATGTTTGTTGTCATCAGTCGGGTCACTATGAACTTAATGGTATAATTGACTTACTTGATGTGTGATAATTGCATGAAGATCATACGTTTCTCATACGTTTTCCTTCTTATTATTTTTGTAATATTTACAGTGTGCATGGGATGGTATCTGGAATCAAGAAATGGAATAAGTCAAGCTTCTCAATTGAGGGATTACCTTGCCAGTCCCTCTTGCTGACTTCTTGCATTCTACTTCCCATCTGTTCAGTCGTTATTTTTGTTTTGCTTATATATGACCTCGCAGTCTAACCATTCTGGATCTCTGAACCCTACTATTTACTTTGGATTTCTTACTCAAGGTTGATGGTAGTTACAGACTACCTTTTGTTGTTTCTTTACCTCCCCTTTGCAATGTTGTTGTACTTCTATTTATCAAATCATGTATCCGTTTTAGCTACTCCCGACCCAAGTTTGTATTTGTCAATAATTTTATGTTTTATTTGCCTCTCCTAGCGCTCAGGGCCCCATCATGTTGTTTCCCATTCCCAATTACCCTTCCAAACCCATCATCATTTCCACTATTTCATCTGCTGCTGCTGTATCTGAAGTAGGTCATGATGTTGTTTTTAAACCACTTGAGTAGCCAAATGTTGTTCGAATTCTGAACCATAGTAGCTTTCAAATGGGAGAGTGGGTTCGGTTTTATTATACGAAGGTTGTGATGGTATGGTAGTGCATTTTGCCTTATGAGCACATGTACAGATCTGTAGTGATTTTCGTAAAGGAGACCATTAATTGATTGAGTTAATTGATGGACACATTCCTCTAAATTGCCAAGCCTCCTCACTACTCATTAGAATATGATATCGAAGCAACTTAAGTTCCAGCGGCGTAGCCGTGGGTATTGATTCTAGTATGACTAATTGAACGATACAAGCACAAGATCGAACCTAGAAAACCCTAGGACTATCTAAAAAACCCACGAGCAAGAAGATATGGCGATAAACTCTCGGCTTATTCGATTAACTCTAAAAAAACTGACTAATACATCGTAGACACGAGTTTAAATAGGTAAACGAAACTTACAACACAAGGAAATAATGTCCTAAGAGGCGTCTTCTCCCACCATTGCGCGGCATAATCAGTAAA